TGGAACTTAGATAGTTAAGGGGTTTGTTACTGAATAAACTCGCTACTGGCAAACTAAGCTAAACTTCTGGTTCGTTCATGTAACTACATTGGTGCATCTTTTCTCAGCAGAACAGAGCTAAGGTCATTAACTGGTGATACATCATAACCGGTGTTAACATAGTAACTCAACGGATTTGTCTAGTCTATCCGTCTTATTCTCTGTAATTATTCGACATTGAATGTAGTCCACCTTATACTACTCTGCATTGTTGCTAGTCAGTGCCTCATACACTGACATTGGACATAAAAACAACGTCAATACTGGCGTTACGTTTTAGATAAACGCCGAGCTAATAAACATGTTGATCTTAAATAGTAAGGTACAAAAATGGGTTGACAAGCCAGTTAAGGCTTACCGATCTTAACTAAATGCCATTACTTGTTGGAAGAAGGATAGGATTTTTAGTCCATTTTTATAAGTAGATTCTTTTTTAAGAGGGATCATGTATCTTTAGTCAAAGATAGGTTGGGAAAAGTTAACTTATTATGACATATTAATTTAGTTATTAAATCTATAAGATGGATATACCTTAAACTACAGATCCTTGCTTGGAAGAGAATAAGACTGCTAGTCAATTTACTTATAACTAGATTTTTATCAATGAAGGTTCGTGAATCTTTAACGGCAAAATGCTGGAGTTATTTATTGGTCATTTGTCATGACATCTTAATATGTGTTACCAGCTCAACAAGATACGTCTGTCAAAATTTTTGTAAATAGATCATTTTTAAAAAAGGCTTGTGAATATTTAATAGAAAAGTGGTCAGGTAGGAACCATGTCACTTAACGTGATATCTTTTTCTGAAACCTATGCCTGGAAGAGGTTAAGAGTTCTAGTAAAACGTTTTGTAATTGTTTGGTTTTGATCGGAATAAGGCGAAGAATACCGACACATTCTGATCTTACTTTTAAAGGTTGTATGTCTTCTCTTTTCTTATACTTTAAGTTCCATAAGGCTCTGTTCTTCATCTATTATTCTATTCTTAACTTGTTTAATCTAATAAAATAACAGGAAGATAACATCTAATGTTTGATATTACAAAATACAATCAAGCAAAAACTATTTTCTTTTCATATGACAGAAATAATTTTTAGTTAAAACCCATTTTCATTGTAAAATATTAAAGTTTTAAAGTATTTTTTCTAGACTGCAATTTGGTATAAATATCTATTTCTATTGAAATTTTTTAAAGTAAAAAATTTCTTTAGATATTTAAGTATTCTTTTAAATATTTAACTTCCACATAGAAGACAATCCCAGCATATTCTTTCCTATGCTGATTATTTCTGTGATTTATGTCCAACTTGCTTTCGAGCGGTTCTTCACACATTGGTTTGCCCACTGGAATTGTTGCATGTGCTCCAGCATCGTATGAGCATCACATCACATTCATTTGAGATACTGTGTGTGACACATTAGGAACGAAGTCTCTGCGAAATTCAAGTTTATTGTTCAGGAAGTGAACGTATCATTAATGAGTGCGTAACGCAGCAGAAGTAAGTCCACATGAGGAAGAGTAGTGAACCAGGCACATGTGGTAGAAATGGTCATTGAACGCATATTCCTCACTCTCCATTATGCACACATGCGATATTGACTTATAATAACAAAGGAAACAAAGGAAAGGATAAATGATAAAAAATAAATTATAAAAGCACACGAAAAAAATGTCAATGGCGAAAAGGCAACGTTGGACTTTGGGGAAATTCCTGGGCAAACATTAATTACGACTTTCGGCATTGAACTTTACCGAAATCCTTTTGGTGATGCGTAGATTTAATCGCATGAATATCTGTGTATGCAGTAAATTTTTTTGTCTAAGACTACACAATAGTCTTCGTTTGAATAACTTTCCCAAAGGTGTCGAGCTGTTGTTAAATTTTCCTCAAAAAATATAAAATTTTATTTTGGTTTTTCAAATTTAAAAATGAGATGCATCGCCAAAATCGCAAACCTAAAAAAAGAAAACAGTCTTGCGAATATGTGTCCTCCTCAAGTGAATTTCAAAGCATCTGCGTATGATTTTTCCAAGAACTTCAGTAGTCAAAAGTTGGCACATTTGCGGCCTCTTGCACTGAATATTTCCTCAAATATTTTTCAACACTTCAAAATGTTTTATTTTTGTACTCCCCAATGTACAGAACATTAGAATTCGTTGCAATTTTTCTAATTCTTCGTTCTTTTGATGATATAAAGTGTCGTGTTTAAATTTATGCAATTTTCCTTAAAAGAGTTTTGGAACATTTTGCAGATTCCATAATGATTTCAATATATATTTTATATAAAAACTATACATTTGCTAAGAGTACTGAATCAAAGAGTGGGATAGCAGAGGTCATGATAAGATATTAAGATCGATATTACTTTCTAAAAGATTTTAAAAACAACGAGTTTTTTATCAAGTTATTTATATATATACATCTATATTCAGATACTATCAGATACTATCACTATAAGATATAAAGAAATGTAATTTTCTTTATATATATACCTTCTGCTCAAAAAGTACCCGGATTTTTTAAAATCCAAGGCTTAATGCCAACGCTTAACCCAATCTTCCACACACTTTTAGTAGGCCCATGCAGGTATGGCTGTTAGTTCCTTCAGCGAATTCTCTTTTATCGATTTAATCGACTCAAAACGCTTACTACGAAGGGGCAATTTGAGTTTCGGGAACAGAAAAAAGTCGCACAACAAGAATTTTCCATAGTAAAAATCGCTAAATGCACTTGAGGTAGTCTCACATTAACAGCTGCTGTAAACAAACTAATTTACAGATGTCGCTCAAATTTGTACTATATCTCAAGAAAGGGTGTACCAACATAACATGAAAAAAGTTTTTTTATTATGTTAACAAACAACAAAATCCGGATACTTTTTGAGCCGAAGTTAGTCTTAGATGTACAGCTAATGGTTTTATGTAGTTATCTAAACTTTTGAGATATTTAAAAATATTAAGTTTAGAATCACACTTTTTATACAAGGTGTTTATAGACCTTTAGGGATCCATTTGTTAGTAACATACCATGGATCTATGTAATAAATCTAAGCATTTTGGATTAAACTCGCTCAATCACTTTTACATCACAGTTACTAACTGGGCCTTAAAACTATATTTTATATGAACAGATTTGCGCAGAAACCAAATAATGCATTATAAATGCAGATCATGGACCTAGTAACTACTACAGTTTTATTTTATTAAGATTTGGAGATTTTTTTTTTGCTTCTGTGTGTTCTTTGTATGTTAATCTTCTGCCTAATATCATGCTTAATTTCATTTATTGGTATTTTTTTTGAAGATTCACCCTAAGGTGATTTTTTGGTAAATCTTTTTGAATTTTGATTTTCCAGTATTCGAACCGAGTATTGATGAATTTAAGTTCTTATTGCGCAATGGGCCTGGGAGCCTAAGTGGATCCCCCTGGGATCACCAGTATAACTAATTTCGTAATTTCGTTCTTATTGAGTTAGAATAGAAGCAATTTAAGATGATTGGGCTAAAGAGATGAGTGCGACAATTGTATCTACCAATACAGCTTCAGGGATAGACCTAATGATACTAACTATATAAACGTTTATTAAAAATTCAGACAAGAGCTATGAATTGCATTTTCAACTTATGTGAAGGAAAGAATATCTGTTTAAATTTTTTTTCCAGTGTATGTAAACAAAACATATATAAATTATTTTTATTCCAAAACCAAACAGAAAAGTGAAATCACACATTTGTCTAATTTAGGTTCCCTTCAAATCTTCTTACAACTAATAGGTCTTCGGTTTAAATGTGTTTAAATAATGTGACAAAACTGTTATTATTGGATGATTTGGTTTTACCCACCTATCTGTTTGTGTATTCGTCTTCTCGGGTATCTGTTTTTTAACTTGAAACCCAGTATTTTGGTTTTTAATCCCAGTATTTGGGATAACGGAATTTCTATCCTATTTTCCTGTTCATAGTATGTACTAACCTATTTAAATAAACCCTTTAAAACTCTTTAGAATCCTTCAATGCATTTGATTTTCAAAATGTACAACAAAAGTGCACAGAGAACTCTTCTGAAGGAGTGTGTTTACACTGTCATGACTTCACAGTGCTCCAGTGTTTTGTAGTCTGTCCAATAAATCATAAGAAATTAAAAATACATTGTCTGTCTGTCTGCTTTCGAAGTCATGTAAAGTGAAAGAAAGAAGTAGGAGTCACATATGCTGGTATGACAGTCAACACCAATTCTGGATTGTGTTCATCCGGGAAGATGAATGAAGAGTTCGATTTCTTTTCATTACTTCAAGCAATAACGTTGATCCGTTGCTAATTTCTACTCAAATTAAAACTGCTTTCAACAGCTTTTCTGTCCAGTCCACACAAAGTCAGCGAACATGCGTTTCGAATAGTTTTGAAAAATGAATAATTTTATTATTTTTTTATATTTTTTCCACATACGAGTATTTTCCTAAATGACTTTATGCACTTTACTTGCTTGCCATTGCCATTTGGACATTTGCCCATGTATGTCTCATAAAGTTTTACTCATGAATATTTATTTGCTGGCCTGTGGTGCTAATGACTCGTCTAACACTTTTCACTGGATTTTATTTGTTTACGGATTAAGACAATTTCTGTTTCATTATTATAATTTTCTTCATTTTTTTTTTGGTTTTTGTATTTCATATGCATTTTCACATCAATTTGTAATTATAATGAAAGCTATTGACGCTTCCATAATGCAAATCTCGAGTAAAGCCAATTTAAACAATGGGGGAGCTCAGGCAAATCAGACTTTTTTCCTTCGATGCATTTTGCATTTCCGGCACAGACGTCTAAATTGCGTTGCCGCTGATGCGATGCTATCAGTGCAGATTGTATACAATTTCTTGGCTAATATATCAAAACACTTTTCCATTTCTTGCTGCTCTGCTCTGTTTTTATTCCAAATCAGTGCTTCTTCTCCACCATTTACCATTTCTTCCCATAGCGTCCAATGAACAGATACGAGCGAGCAAGTACTGAAGAGGAAAAATTCGAACTACCGCGTTGCGCTTGTAATGTAAAATGATGTGGAACATTCGAGCGTGAGTAATGGAAGCCAAAATTACCGATTCCTTCCTGTTTAATTTTAGCACGGCTAATGTTCACATCACATTTGTGTGATATTTCTTGCTGCAGCTGCAGCGGTAGCCGATGTTGTTGTTGTTGTTGCTATTTGGTAAAGAGTTGGGCGCATTCTGCTCATAATGCATCTTTTCGTATAGATTTTCTTTAAACATGAAAGACATCGCTCCACATTTGCTATTCTTCGCTGTCTACTCGTTGGTTTTCCATTTTAAGAACTGTTTTGTTTATTTTAACAACAATGCAAACTGCACTGCCGGTCCAGTGCTTTTACCTCCAAACACACTCCCATTGTCTTCTATTTATGTTACTTACCCATTATTTAGTGCTAATATTGTAAACATTTTTCGAATTCATTTTAATAGAAGTGTCATTATAACCAAACTGGAATTTTACTTGGATATTTATTAATAGATATTAAAAATAGGAATGATTTACAGCAAAGTATCTTAAGCTTAACATCACTTTTCCATATACAAATATCAGTAAATATTATTAGGTATTACATACTAATAAAAATATTATATATATATATATATTATTTATTTATTTCTATTTAAGCCAGTGCATTTGAGCACTTTTACTCTTTCTTAACTCGAGGCATTTTTAAAACCCCTCTTTACGCCTTGACTGAACTATTGTTAATCAGACTAAGCAATAATTGACCTCAGATCTTCATACCTTCCCGAGGAGCCTGTAACCATTCATATCAATTTAGTTTATAATAGTGTATAATATATTATGTATATATTAATATAGTAAATTTAAATAATCTCTGTGTAGGTAATAAAAAAGAATTACTCACTACTACTACTTATATATTAAGTCCTAGTCTTACAACGCACTCATTAATTAAGGAACCTTTAAGAGTTCGATATTGGCCATTAAAGTAACCTATCAAATTCAAACATCACATATATCAAGTTCATCTCCAATCGAGACTTAGGCTAGGTTAGGTAGTACTGCCGATCTAAAGGAATCCACTATTGAAATTGACCCATTGACCGATTGCGTTTCCAGATAAGGTGAAAAATTCAGAGGTTTAAAACTACCTTGAATCTTTGACAATGCTATTAAAGATTGGTCTTGCAGTTGACCAAAATCTTCAAAAAAAGGAGACCCCTAAAATAGTAAAACGGTGTCGTGCAAGCACTGAGCAGTAACAAAGCAGATAAGAGACACTTTCAACATCCTATCCTCAAGTGGAGGAGATACAATTGAAAGGAAGATTTGATCTTCTAGCATGGTTTCCAAATCTGCAATAACTACTGTGTATTTTACACCTCCCATAAGACTGATATCACTACGACTCAATAGGAATATCGGATTTCTTTTTAATGGAACGTGACTAATTTGCTTATATATCACTGAGTCTTCCCATCTTATATTAAAAAGTTTAGCACATAAAGAATAGAACAAAAGTTTAACGGATGCAAGCAAAATGCCCAGATCGTTTAGGTGTTTCGAATGATTCCCAAAACACTCCATCTGACCAGCTCGTTCGCTTCGCAATCATCGAAAAAATTCATAGGAAATATTTCTGTGATGCATCACCATCTCCTTTAGAGATGTGTTACAGTCAAAAACTGACCTGGATGTACATTGGACTGAACTTAAGGACTTTAAAACAGCTTAACTATGCAATAATATGTATTCTATATATCCTGCAAAATATATTCACTTTCTGAGAATATATAGCTTTCCTACTGGCGATCACCTTCACCTTGCACAATGATCTTGAAGCCTATAGTAAGAATACTTATTCAGTCCTTCTGTGAAAACTAAACTCCCTTCTCGGTGTCAAAGATGTGGTTTAAATGTGTTTTAAATTTAAAATACTGTGACGCATTCATTAGGAAAATCGATTACTGTTTATTGATTCTGATAATTGATGATTATTGTTTCGATTATCGATCATTAGATTATCGATTATTGATTATCACTCAAATTCATTATAACATATTATAAATATTGACTCAATTGGGTGTAGAAATGAAAGAAATAAATGAGCCCATATATATGAGAAGAGAAAGTGTTGTTCCACTAAGATAATGCCTCGTGTCAAAATGTCAATAAAAGCCATTAGTTAAAGTGGGAATTGCTTTCCTAACCTCCATACTCTTCAGATCTGGACTTCACCTAGCACTCATTTTTGACAAACGTTTCGAATTTCAAAATCACACTAAAAATTATTCTAAACATCATTTTTGTGCTATAAAAAAACATTATTTTGTTTAGCACTGATGTTTGGTATTATATATATACTTTGGGTATATATGACATGTGTTGAAAATATAAGTTAATATCTAGGGCTTTAATATAAACCACTTGCAGCTGGGAAGTGGTTAAAGCAACAACGCTTGATATAAAAAATAAATAGTTCAGTGGTATATATCAAGCATTTGGAAGAGTTTTTCCATACACAATTACTACATATATATTGAAACAAATTTTCAAACATTTATTCTATGAAGGTGTAAAATCTTGTCTTAATGGTAGATTCTTTAGAATCAAAATGAACTACACAGAACTATTTTGAATGTTTCTCAATATGGCGTACTAGGCCCTGTTCTATATATGATATTAATTGTCGACTAGCCGTTATTCAATAAAATATAAATTGCAACATATAGTAATATTATTATCTATTGCTGTACTTATTTACATCTATAAGCTTATATAAACTGAAACTGTAGAGATAGATTAATTACAGTATATGACAATATGCTAATCAGTCATTATTATAAATAGTTTTTACTAAAAATCTATAAAAATATTCGTTGCAAATGCAAAATATACTGAGTAACTGAAGAAATGAAGTTAATTCTCTCAATTCGGCTTAAATCACTTTCACACGTAGACGTGACATTTACCCTCTAAAATACACACACAATAAAATCCCCAATCAAACTATAAACGCAGGCAGTTCCATACTTGAACCATACTTAACTTGACGGACATCATTCAAATCTAAGCTATTCTTAGGAAAAAAAGTTTTTGTACCCAAAACAATCATCAAATCAGCATAGATCTGCGATATTTAACTTTGGTACTCGGAGGCTAAAACAATCATAGACTCACTAGATCCAGTCCACTCTAAATTGACCAGAGTTTAAAGTAGGCTTAAAAGGTGCTTATTAATGCATTGACACATATACTCGAATATGACTATTACCTATTGTGATGCCTTACCTTCTTGCATTATCATCGTTAAAATATTTAATTTTTCAAAAGGAAATTAAGGAAAAGGGAAATGAAGGAGTTGTGATAAATTTACTTTTGTTATCTCCAAAAGGTCAGTAAAGTCGTCCAGAATGTTAAGCTAATGTTCAGTAAAGTCGTCCGTTAAGTGATTTGTAGATTCCACTTATTCTTTATCATGGTAATTTCATCTGTTTGTGCTTTTGTCATAATGTGCCAACGTCAAAGCATTGGTGCAAAATCCAATTCTTGTTAGTACTTCAAAAGCGCACTTATTGCTGGTTTGCTGGAAACTAAAAGATAATTCTCCTATATAATATTCGCTATAAAAGAAGCGAAGGAATACTTAAGGAATACTTTCTTCCAATGTAACACAGCGTTGCGACCATGGTAAATCTTTTTGTGCTTTTACCTGACTATAACTGAACAGAAGACATTCCACCCTTCAAACAAAAAAACGAATGTCAGCTATTGAGGTCATCTTAACATTAATTTAGAAATGGTCGCAAAGGGGTTCTAGTCTGCACAAGTCTCATATTCTACACAATTAGTCCCTTATTTATTCAGTTCAGCTATATTCACAATTGGGGGCTTTCATGGAGGCGTTGAAATCGTCTAGGTCTATGTTGTGGCTTTCTCCGACTATCTCATCTGCTAGTTATATTATATAAAATAAATTTCAACAGGAAAATAGTCTAACAGAGAGGTAGAAGAATATATAATATGATTATTTATAGGTATGTAGAATAACTAATATTAGGTGTGAAGAGAGCCACTATCTATTACATGAAAAAGAAAATATGTCGTTCAGAAGGTGTTCTCAGCTAAAAAATAATCTTTACCATCTATAGGATGCAATTATGGTATATCCTAATTAAACCAACAATAACAGTCTATGGCAATAACACGTGAGTTCTATTTAAATTTTCTTGACGGTCTGACGGTCTTCATAGTCTGCATAATGAGGCGCTGGATAAGGCACTGGAACTGTCCGAACAGTTGATTGTTTAAAAGAAAGATTTTAAAGCACTTATGTTATAAAATCTTTGTACCTTTTTCCATTATTTTGTGGTTTTTGGAGCGATAAAAATTTGGTATATGTTATGGAAACGAAATCGCAAATAAAACTATTTGAGAATTTTTAAATAACTATATTCATCAAATAATAAAAACTAAATTAAAAATAACTGGCAGGTTAATTTGTATAAAATACAGATTCAAAGAAAAAATCTCATCAAAAATAACATTTGAAATTCTATGTTTAACTTTTTATTTTATTTAACATACACAGAAACACCTCATTTTAACATTTTACATAGCATGTAAAAATATTATTTTCTCGTGTTTTAGTGGGAAATTAAGATTGGTTTTTGTCACAACTATAACCTGTCTTATCGACAGCAAAGACACAAAATATCTTGGTTCTAAACCAAAGATAGAAACATCGTAACATTCTATGTTAATCAACAGAATGCAAAATGTCATAGAAATGTTTACAACAGAAATTGCATTTAATTTTACATAGTGTATAGTTTTCTGAATGTCAACATATTTTTACACTGTTAAGTGGTTTGTGAGACGTAAAAAATTTAATTATTTTTAAATAATTTTATTTAATTTTTTTTTAAATTAAATTAAATTATTTTAATTAAATGTCTACAGTTACGGTTTTACAATAAAAGAAAATTGATAGCAACTTCTAGTGATTAATTTTGATGCTTGTGATGACTGTCGTTAGATGCCATATACGTAGTAATATGGATAATAACCGTTGCAGGATGAACTAGAATAATAATTATATTTTTATATAATTGCTATTTTAATGTTATATTTTTCTCAATTTTTTAGAAAACATTTTTGTAGTCTAAAATGGTTGCATATTTTTTTTTTTAAATATGTACATAATATAATTTTGCTGAAATATCTTAAATAGTTCCCAAATGATTTATCTTTTTGCCCATCGGGTAATGTTTTCTTAAGACATTAACGCTTTTGTCACTTAATTTTTTTTTCAATGTTAGGTTTTTAACAGTCCATATTTTACAGTAAATATTGATACAGTCTCTATATGATTCCTTTACATTTTCTCAATCAAGAAGAAATACGTTTTTTTAATCAAGTTCAAGATTCTTCATTAAGACTGCTCCTACATTAATAATGCTCCTATATTTAGCTTTGTGCTGTTGAAGCATATGCAGTTATTTTTTAAAAAATTCTTAGTATTCTCACTTCATTTTATACTTAAACTTATTCATTCACATATATCATTTTGTTTAATATTAAACAGATTCATATTAATATTAATAATGAAGTTGTTGTTGTTATTCAAAGTAAGTAAAGTAATAAACTTACCTGAAAAAATAGCGTAAACGCCACCCATTGATAATATTTTGTATGTTTTATTGTAAGAGGTCCACGTCCCTGCGAATTATGAACCCCAGGAAAAGGCACCTCGGATCCTTGCTTCTTCATGAAGGCATCCACCACTGTATAAGTTGAGTGAATCCAACAATATGTATTAAGCACATCTTCCGGAATGTCTCTGTTTTAGGAGAATATGATAAAATAATAATTATTATTTAAAAAAATAATATTTATATTGATTTTATAAAAAAAATAATATTTTAGTATTTAATTAAATCCGTAAAAAAAAATCATTTGAATAATCATTACTGAGAGATTTTTCAGTGGAACATATTTTTATTGTGACATATTTTTTCATAAATTGCTCAAAATATATTTATAAAAAATTCATTATGAATATTATGTTATTTTTTATTAATTTTTTTCTTAATTTGTTGATGCAGTTAGCTGGCACATTGGCAGTTATTTCTTTATTTTCGTTTTTCTAATGCAGTAGCTGTTAACATATATTATATAATTTTACAGTGATTTTAGGTAACAGTGACAGTCAGTTAAAATTATTAAATGCCCTTAGAATCTACGGGTTCATCGTGATACCATTAGATAACACGGAACTATGACTGTTATGACTATTATGAAATTTAATATTTGTCAGGGTGCGAGTTCAGCTCTTGATACTTAGGTGTGAAGTAATAAAAAATCTGAATTAACATTAATTTGATTAAAAACCTGCTTTCAAATATTTCGAGTCTCAAAAGATGATCATTGGAGAGAATTTTGAGCTATTCCCAGTCCTACATTCCATCTAATGATGGATATTTTACTATACTCAAAATATCTATATGGTCAGCTAAAAATTCAATTAATTAAAAATAATGAATATAAATATGATTTATTCATAAAAATAGGAAAAATGAATGTAATGAATGTTCGAAATCTCGAGAACAGTAGATGTTTACGGTAGATTAGTTTCTTAAAATAGTTTCAAAACATTAAATACATTAGCTTGTCTTAAATGTAATAGTTTTTATTGAGTAAAATAGTCACTGTTGTCATAAGTGAAGTAAAAATCAAACTTAATTAAGTAAAATATGTTAATTTCGTGTGATTATTATAAGTCATTGATATCAAATTTTAATGTTTATGCCATCTTTATGTTTTAATATAATATTTAAATTATTTTCCATCTTTTGTATTATTCTTAACACTCTCAAATAAAAAAAAAATTGTTTTTGTATAAAATATACATACTTCATTAATAAATATTCAACATACCTGGTATGAACACAGTCTATTGGATTTCCTACGTACTGTCGCGTCGTAACAGCAATCGAAAATGTTATTAACAGAATAACAGTTGCATTTGTGTGCAGACGAAATACAGGTGAATCGATTTTAACATGAGACACCTTTTGAGGACATCACCAAACAAATATAATTAACGACCAAATACCATTGATGACGACAAAAGTCGTTTTATGACGTCATAGTTAACAGTTCATAAAGTGTTTTGTTGATATTTGTGTGTGTAAAATTATAAAGAAAATATTAATATTATTATGAGAATTGGCAAAAGTTTAAATGTTAAATATAATTAAGAAGATTATAAAAATTAACTTATGAGTTTTGTTATAAATCAAAGTTGCTTGCGTACTTAATTAAATACATTCTCGACTTATGAAAGATACAATAATTAACTGTTGGTCAAAGTTTAAAAATAATTAAACAAATTAATTAAGTCAAAAAAATTTTTAACAGTCTGTTATTAGTCGCAATAATTTTTAGTTACTTTCCAATGTTGATATAATTTGTTTAATTATTTTTAATTTTTTTTTAATTGTTACTCAATATGTGTTTATATAGTTATTTTGCTATTATTATAATAAATTATATACTCAAATAATTAATTATACTCAATAAACTGAAGTACATTTAACATTACTCGCAACTCCTCAAATGATAATTTTACTGACTCAGTATTGTTACTGATGTTCTCAAGTATGTAAGTATAGTAAGGTGTGAATATAAACATATTTACTTATATAAACTATATTGTTATAAGTAATTTCGTTAAATAAAATAATTGTTTTGTAATGAATTTGGCAATTCGTTAATGCAAAAATGTTTATAACGAATTTTGAAGTTTGCATGTTTCATGAAGGAATGCAAATTTTTTTGTCAATTTTATTTAATTTTAATTTTTTTTTTTTTGTTTTTTTGGAACTTTGATATTTCAAATCAACATTTCATGTTTTCAAAATGAATTTACATTTTAATTTTTTTTTAATTTTGTGTTTTCCAATATATAATTTAATTCTTTTGTGGAATTTTTGCAATTTTTGTAAATTTTATTTTGTAAACAAATTGTGGCATTTTGTGGTCGGAAAGTATATTTTATTTTATATTTTATGCTCTGAAATATAAACTAGTCCGAGCGCCTTTAAAAAATTAATATACTAGATTTATAATAAATATGATCTACAGTTTTATATTATAAAAACTTTTAATTGATATCTAGTTGCCGAGTTTTCTTAAACTTTAAAATAAGCTCTTCGCTGTGAAGTAAGAAAAAATCAAAATTAACATTAATTTAATTAAAAACCTATTTTAAACTATTTCCAGTCTGAAAAGAAAATCATTGGAGAGAATTGTGAGCTATTCCCGATCCTACATTCCATCTATTAAAACTCCCCTATCAGAACTTTATAATAAATAAGACTTTGAACATTAAATATTAAAAGATTAGTTTAAAATATTTAGAACTGAAAGGATCATAGTGCTTGATAATCACTTTTTCACTATCAATTCTTAATTCTTTGTAAAATTTAGCTTTAACAGAGTTTCTGCCGTTTTTAATAGTCATAAGGTATACTAAGATGTAGTATGATCTATTACCGACGAAAGAACAAAAATCTGCCGAATGCTCATTTTCATTACGAGAATGGTAGATCGGAAGAGTCCTCTAAGGGACGTTGTACGTATGCACTCATTCCCAACATTAATGAACGGGTGACAAGACAACATGATGAAGTGGACTACAATCTGACTCAAATATTAAGCGACCGCAGATGCTTTTTGGAATATCTTTATCCATTTTAGCTGGCAAATAGTTTCTGCTGCCAAAACTGCCACAACATCGTAGAAAGCGCAGAAGATGTGGTGCTTTGTTGCGACCGCTTTAAAATGAAATATGAACTACTCGTTAGAGCCTCACTAAGGCATTTATCATCTCTTAACAGCATTGCACATGAAATGTATTCTAAAAACAGCTTTAAATGAGATGCAACTCATACTATGCGGCACCTGAGACATTATGTAGAGGAGCGGAAAGCTCTTTCACAGCTCGCATAAGTGGGAAGGGCGTTCCAAAAAAGAACAGTTGCAGTGATACAGCTGCAATGCAGTCAATTGACAAAATGACGACAAAAAAACAGACGTTTCTGCTTCGTACTCTGCGTGACCTCTTGACGATATACCAAATTGGTGATACCGGGAGGTCTAATTGTCGAACAACATCTTTGTGATTTTAGTGGGTTGAAGTCTCACACTGACTGGGCTTTCGATTGCTTTAAAAACATCTCGTTTAAGGAAAAAGATACGGTATGATAAATTCCTGTTCTATACTATCCTATGCTCTTAGCTCAACTTCCAAAAAAAAATATTGGTATTATCACCACATTCCTACTTTTTGATATATGCTTTCATATAAGTTGAATTCCTACTGAAGTATGAAAAAAATAGAAGCAGGACTTCAGTATAGTTTTATTGGGCTCCATTCTTATAGTGAAGATACAAAAATGATGTTGTAGTGTGATGTACTGAGCCCGTGGCAATTACAAGATGGAGCAATTAGTGAATATAAATTGATATATATATCGTATATTCAACTTGATGCGTATGGCTGCTTTATTTATTGCTTCAATTAAATATATATAATGTTATATGTATAGGGAAAAGTGCGTACATATTTCTATTAAAATTCAAAGTTTATTTTCTATAGAAATTTCAAACTAAATCAATCTAATTTGTAAATGAAGTTTATCAAAATCTCACACTGGTTGCCTGGCATTGTCGATAAGTCTTTAGATTTTTCGATTGAAAACTAACAAAATGCCACAAAAGTGTTTAAAATTTTAGTTGAAATGATTTTCCAATTTTGAGAGTTATTTACTCTTCAATCAATGCTAAAATTAAAATGCATTTTATGTGAATATCTCAATTGAATTATGTTGAATGCCATTAAAATGTTTTCGAATCAAATGACATTTTTGCGAAAATAAATCTTTTCATAACGATGACTACTGAATCGATATTTTATTGGTGTTCGAATTGGAGTCTCAATCAAAAGATACAAAAGTACGAAACAAATAAACATTTATGAAATTACGATAATATTCTTAAATTATTTAAGAATTTCTTTCGTTTTGGTTTTTTTTATTTAAAATTTTATTTTAAAAGTGAATTTTTATGTGAAATTTAGTGAAAAGTGAATTGAAAAAAATTTATTGTGAATCGAACTGTGAATTGTAATTTTAACTGTGATTAGAGGTGAAGGTGAATAAATTCAGTGAGTTGAATTTCAAGAGTGAAGAGTGATATTTGTAGATCGTGAAAGTTGTGATTAAGCAAATGTGATATTGTCTGCTTTGAGCTAAAATATTTTGCTAAAAGTTAATTAATAAAATATCTCTAAACGCCATTGTTTGAAAAAAGTCAAGTGAAATTGATAAAGTGATAGTTTGTTAAGTGGTGAAGTGGTGAAAGTGATTGAAAGGTGAAAAAACAAAATTTACGTTTGTGAAAGTTAAAGGATAAAGAGCTTTATTGTTCCATTAAAGAATAAAGGAACAATAAATAAAATTTTAGGGATTTTAAAATTTACTGGATCGATTTTAATTGTTCGAATTGGGGCCAAATTTTTACAATTTAGTTTTGTGGATTTAATTTTAGATTTTAGCATTTTAAAGAGTGAAGATTTAAGAAACTTACAGATGTCATTTATTTCGTTTTTCTACTAATTTAAATAATTCAAATATTTTTATTATAACACTTAAATCAATTGTTCCACAACTGTAAGTTCCTTACTAGTTTGAAAAAAATCTAGCAGTACATTTAAATAACTTAGCTTTAAGATACTTAATAAAGCATTGTAATTCAGTAATAATATTAAGTATATAAATTAATTGTTTTTACTTAATTTCTGATATAAAACAATTACAATTTTAACGCACAATAGTAAAATCGCTTAAGAATACATAAAATTACACAAAAATACTTTAAAAATCGAATAGCTTCGTAATGTTGTTATTGGGTTAAGCATTACTTTGATTTTATTGCTATTTTTATTTAATTTAATTTTTCGTTACTTTTTGTTATTAATTTAAGTTAATTAAGAGGAAATTAGTTGTTAACCTTAAAAAAATAATTTTAATTAATTTTATCGTGTGAAGACTTGAGTGAGTATTATTATTTGCTGATTTATGTGTCTTTTTAGTGTAAAAAATTTGAAAAATATTTCAAGTGTTGTTCACTAATTAAAAAATTTTCAAAAATATCAAAAGTAATTGACATTTATTAAAAAATTTTAACTAAATTTGTGTTAGAATTCATTGTCGTGTGGTGTGTTTTTATTAAGAAAAAATAAAAATAATTATTATTAAATAATTATTTTTGCAAGTATTTAGTGTTTTTTTAGTGTGAATGTGCGAGTTTGAAAAAAGTGAGTTTTAGAGAGAAGAGAGAGAGAGAGAGTGAGCGATGTTTAATTTAAAATTTTTATTACTAGTGATTAATATATGATAAATAGTTTTTTAAATGTGTTAATATATGAATAAAATCTATAAATTTTTATTTTTGTTTTTATATGTATGATGTTCTTCTATAAGTTATGCTTTCAACAAAAAATTCATGTTTAATATATCCTTTATATTACATTAAAATGGCTCTACTGACGTTCCACGTTATTAGCACCAGCGATATTGAACCAGTAATATATTATATTGTCATATATTGTCATATACACTCAGAGACAGTTTAAGACAAGTGTGATTGGTTGTCGTATGTCAATTAGTTCCTTTACATTTATTATCTAGTTCTCTGTTTTAAGTTCTTAGTAATTTAAGTTCTTAGAATTTAAATTCTTGGAAATTTTAAAAAACACCTCTAACAAAAATTCTCTATTTGGTTTACATGAAAATTTAAACCATGCTTTGTAGACAGCTTAAGAAATGCCTGAATATTTTCTCTGTTTCAACCGAGGTTTAATTTGTGGTGCCTAAATTAAAAAGGTAATATATTTTATGTGTATGTGCTCATGTTTATAGTAATTTTCTTCTAAATGGTGAAATTTCTGCCACTATTTTTTGACCATCGTGACAAGGTGACTATGGTTCATCACCATAACCAATAA